TACAAGCTGCTATTGCTAGTATATACATTAATTATAAAAAAGTGCGTTTAGTGGGCTTTAATTGGTTGAGAGTTCAGGAGTACTTAAATCTACTTTGTTAAATTATGCCATAGTTAAAACTCTTTGTCGTGCTGCTTCCAGTCTCAGGTTAGGGTTCTCATGGTTGGCCTCCATGTTTGAGCTTTTATCCAATCAAACGCAGCCATGATGTGTCGCCGATGTCTCCAGTCTGCCTTTAAACCAGACAGAAGCACAAACCATACACAAACCGCTCTAGAATATTTGAGGATATTGTTAGTAGAGTTGTTGGATTTTCATTAAAGTGAATTAGAATATATTCAAAGTTTAGACAGCTTTGGGTTAACCTACTGTAAATAAGCAGAAAGCCGAAAACATCTGTTTTCAGTAGATCTCATGTTTATTTAGAGGGAAGCCACGTCTTCTCTGAGGGAGAGGAAGGTGGGACATATTGTCACATGTGTTTCAAATTATCAGGGTATAAGACCAGAGCTCTTGGTCCATTCTTGGTCACTCTTCTGCTTTCCATCCAGCAGAGACCCAGACTGGACTGTAGTCTGTAACTTGTCTGTTTGTGCTGATGTCCAGATAACCTGTAGTTTTGAACCAGCGGCTGACAACATGTATTAAAGAGATTATGTTGTTGAAATGTGACTAGTTATTCACAGATATATACTATTTCTCTCAATGTGTGGAGCCATGACATCTTTACAACGGGAATAAGTGGTGGATCAAAACACGTTGGCTGTAAAGAAGCTCAGTGAAGGCCATTTTATACTACAGGCTCTTGGGGGTGTTGTGATGTCACATGAACACTAAGTATTAGGGATACACGATCACATTTGTCTCCTGGATTAATTGGCGGTGGTGACATCACAGATAATTGATGATGATGATGATGATGAGTAACGGGTCCTGTGTTTCCTCAGTCACGAAGGCTCAGAGACGAAGCCAAAGAAGTAAGTGACCCGCTCCGATCCTTCTTCAAGTTCATTTCACCTCATTCTACTTCTTTCAATCAACATTATTATCATTATTTTTTTTTCCCCACTACTTTTTCTCCGTCTAATCATCGTCTCATTTCCGCCTCACTGCACTTTTTTCTATCTGTCGTTGATGACGTGAAAGTATTTGCATTTTGTTCTCCCAGAATAATGAGGAGAACGCAAACAATGTCGCTCTGGAAGACTTGTCCCTGCAGCATCCAGAGGTGAGGTCCCTGTTGGCTCAGGTCCAGTCCAGAGACCAGTCTAGAGACCAGTCTAGAGACAAGTTTAGAGACCAGTCCAGAGACAAGTCTAGAGACCAGTCCAGATACCAGTCCAGAGACCAGTCTAGAGACCAGTCTAGAGACCAATCTAGGGACAAGTCTACAGCCAAGTCTAGAGACCAGTCTAGAGACCAATCTAGGGACAAGTCTACAGCCAAGTCTAGAGACCAGTCCAGATACCAGTCTAGAGACCAGTCTAGAGACCAATCTAGGGACAAGTCTACAGCCAAGTCTACAGCCAAGTCTAGAGACCAGTCTAGAGCTCAGTCTACAGCCCAGGCTAGAGCCCAGTCTAAGGACCAGTCTAGAGACCAATCTAGGGACAAGTCTACAGCCAAGTCTACAGCCAAGTCTACAGCCAAGTCTAGAGACCAGTCTAGAGACCAGTCCAGAGACAAGTCTAGAGACCAGTCCAGATACCAGTCCAGAGACCAGTCTAGAGACCAGTCTAGAGACCAATCTAGGGACAAGTCTACAGCCAAGTCTACAGCCAAGTCTAGAGACCAGTCTAGAGACCAGTCTACAGCCCAGGCTAGAGCCCAGTCTAAGGACCAGTCTAGAGACCAATCTAGGGACAAGTCTACAGCCAAGTCTACAGCCAAGTCTACAGCCAAGTCTAGAGACCAGTCTAGAGACCAGTCTAGAGCTCAGGCTACAGCCCAGGCTAGAGCCTAGTCTAGAGCCCATTCCAGAGCCCAGTCTAAGGACCAGTCTAGAGACCAGTCCAGAGACCAGTCTAGAGACCAATCTAGAGACAAGTCTACAGCCCAGTCTAGAGATCAGCCTAGAGACCAGCCTAGAAACCAGTCTAGACCCTCTCTCTGCCAATTAGCTCAAAGTGTTAAATAGTGACACACAGGGTTCTTTCTTATAAGCATAAGAAAATGTTTTCTAATGAGCTTAAGACAAAATACAGCAAGTTGAGGTCACATTTGTCCACAAGGAACAAAAAGTAAGGTACCCCAGCTTTAATTTGCTTTAGTGTAAAAATGATAGTGTTCCTCTCTGTTTCCCCAGTCTTTCCAATCAAGATTTTCCATTGTCTTTTCACTTGAAATGTGGCACAAATTTAGCTTTTAAGAATAAATAAAATTATTTTATGTCATTCTTGGGGCTTTACACTTGATCCAAATCTAACATATTATGATTTATAGTCAACTTCTTGTGCACAGATCGAGCCGTTCGACCGCAGCTGCGACAGTCATGGGGCTCTCAACATGGTGCTGAGGCTACGGTGAGTCCACTGGAAACGCTGGGAAGAGGGTAGAGCAAGAGGAAATGTCAGTGTTGCATCAGCAGTTACAGAACAGTAGGACTGAAGAGCACACAGCACAAGATAAATGAACAACTCTGTACTAAAATAAAATAAAATAAACATTTACCTCTTGCATGGAGAAGAAACAAGTATAACATCTCATCTACATGTTTGCAGCATGATGGTATGAGACACTGACAAAGTAGAGACAAAGTGACACATGTGGTTCTATATTGCACAATCTGAACTTTGAAGTTATTACACTGGAACAAATCCCATGAAAAAAATAAGAAAACAATATAGGAAAATCACTAAAATACTGCAGTAAATAAATCCTTCCAGATTTTACTCTTTCAGGACTGGTAGAGTTATAGCGAACTATCTGAATGACGTCACTAAGACACGCCCCCGCCGCCTGTCAACTCCCGCCCACATGTTTCGGACAAACACTGCCAAAATGAATCAAATACCTCTTGTCACTTTAGACGAAAATAATAAACCAGGGGCAAAATTCCACCATCAAACCATCAGGGATCATAGTGTAGACCAGGGACGTGCAGTCAGGGGAGGCAGGGGAGGCAGAGCCTCACCTGCCATTATTGGAAACTAATAATTATTTTAGTTTAAATATATAATTTATATCCACTGTCCTATGCTTTTAATGTATATTCGGCACGGTTCCCATCAGTTTTGATCATTTCTGAAGTCAAAATCGCCGAAATCCCGTTATTCCTATTCAAAGAGACGAGGTGAGGCAGCGCTCCTGCGTGCCTCACCCCAGACCGCTCCCTCACAGTGTGTGTGTGTGTGTCTGAGTGCACTCAGCTCGTGCAGTTGATATATCACCGTTTGTTTCAAATATCCTGCTTTAAAAACATTTTTTAAACTCCTCTTAGTGTTTAGTAGTGTATTGCACGTATGTGTGTACAATTTATATTTAGTTTAAGTCTTTTGATCGTAGATGAACACACAAGGAAAAAGCTTGGCGTGAGGCAGGCGGTATCTGTGCCTCACCGCTAGGGGTGATAGTGAGCATAAAGTTCATACCAGAGTTGCTAACAAACAATCAGCCCAAAATGCTATTTCTTTTGCTGGAAAATGGATGATTTGAATGAAGATTTTTTTTCTCAATTGGACTTTCAAACAAAGAAAGAATTAATATAGACTGGGAGACCACCACTGGACTTACGAGGTTAGTCCGGCTGCGGGGGAGGAGTTTGTTAATCTGTGTTTTATGTTGAACATTGACAGATACCGGCAAAGTAGTGCTTTTCCGAAAAACACTGATTCAAACACTGCTCAAGAGTTCTGCAACTTGTTTAAATTATTGTTTATGTTCCTCGCGTCTCTCTCCTTCCTCGCGTCTCTCTCTCCTCGCGTCTCCGTCTCTCTCTGCTCCTCGCGTCTCCGTCTCTCTGCTCCTCTCTGTCTCTCTCTGCTCTCTCTCCTCGCGTCTCTCTCTCCTCGCGTCTCTCGCACCTGCGCTTCTTAAAGATGTTGTTTGATGCGGAGAGAGTCAGCAGCTAGATTTGTTGTGAGATTATTAAAAGAAGCTGGTTCTCTTATCTTTACAGTATATAAAGTTTGTGGATGTCATTGCATTGGTGATTAAATGCTATTTTATTTGAATAATGATTGTAAATCTGACTTTTAAAGTCAGTGCCTCCCCAATCACAAACCTCACCGCACGTCCCTGGTGTAGACCAATTAAAACGTTGGCTTGAATGTCGTGGTCTTCCAGTAACTGGTAGAAAGTTTGATTTGATAAAAAGGTAATGGTGAGGATTATGATAACATTATCTAGTCATTTAAATTGCAATGTTAGCGCCTTCTTTGTTTATTTTGCTCTGATTAACTTCCATTTATCAAGTTGTTTTTTGTACTGTCCATTTCGTAATTAGTTTGATCATTTAGTTAACTACAGTCAGCCGATATTATAATAGATCCATGGGGTCACAACGGGCTACACCACTACTGTCTCTGAGAGAGAAACTATCGGAGCTAGCCACACTCAGTAAACGCAAACGACAATCAATCAACATATTTAAATGTTAATGCTAGAATATAATATTCATACAACACACGTGCACAGAGGTTTTCAGAATTATCTGTTAAGGTTTTCATGACAAAAATACTTTTTTAATGCGACTAAAGCGATCGCTTTTTTAAAGTAGGTGAACTAAAACCTTTGGGAACTATTTTCTTTGCACTCATTAAATAAACGTTTTGGCATGAATAGTGACAGAAGTTTATTTTGTGTGTTCAGTTGGTACAAAGCCGTATAATAAGCGGACCCCAACGCGCTTCGTCTGTGCTTATTTTCCGATAGTCACGAAGTTGAAAAAATCCCTCTCATCTTTCTTCAGGTGTGAGAATTGTATACATTCTGGATTAGGACAAACAATACTAATATGGATTGATGGGGGTAAATGGTGTAAAGAGAAAGTTTGTGCTAACTACATTCAGAAGAGCTCAGACGGACCTGATACAGCGGTCCAGGTCCAGTCCCAGCTAAACGTAGCTAGGACTGGATCTGGATGCTCCACAGTTGGTCCAGCGAAGTGTTTTGAAAAAACATGTCCTTTTTAACATTTTCATGAGAGAAATTCTGCCGACCACAAGCACCCACCTGGTCTGATCTGGTCCTGGTCTGGTCCTGGTCTGGTTCGATGTTGTGGTTTAACGAACGGGTTGAATGTTACTTTCATATAGTCCTTTTCAGAGTATCTGAAATCGCTCCCACAAGCACCATAACTGCAGTGTTTTGTTGTCACCATGATTCAATGATTTAGCCCAAATAAATACACACGCTTATGTGGAGAACACAGTAGTACTCAACGGAGTCGGACAGAGTTTGTCCGAAACATGCGCGCATGCGCAGTCATTGGAACTATTTTTAGCACATTTCGGAAACCGGACAGTGCCCTATTATTGCACAGTTGAGTTAGTAAACAGTGACACGTGTGGTTCTATATTGCACTTTCTGACATTAGTTCCAGATATTGCACCGATGCATGACATTTGTTATTTACAAATATCGTCATAATTGTAGCGGCTTGATCTCAGAAGTCTCTGTGACCTAAATTTAATCTGTGTGTTTTTGAAGGAACTCCAAAAAGGAACTGAACGACATCCGCTTTGAGTTCACCCCCGGCAGAGGTGAGATGTAATCAGGGATGCACCGGTTCCAATACTGGAATCGGGTCGATACCATGGGCTCGTCCTCGTACTCGGACTCATACCATAGGACTCGATGCCGGGAAACAGATACCTACGTTTTTTTATTTACATTAGAGCCGCGACAGCAGATAGCAGACATCTGCTTGCCGCTAAGCTAGCAGCAACATGTGCCGCTAGCTTAGCGGCAAGCGGATGTCAGCCGTATGGCAGTTTTTCAAAGTAAAGGAGTGACAAGAGTAAAGCGGGATGTACGTTGGCACAACCTGTCCTGAGCGGGCTTCAAAACAACACCAGCAACTTGATCAAACATCTGAAAACTAGTATAGGGTCAGCACTATATCATGTACGGAATCGGGACGGAAGAGGAAGTAAATATACCAAACTACCTATTCATGCCTAAACTTAACCAGTCATTCCCATAAAACCATCTTACTCAGACCACCTTAACCCTAACCTTAACCATCTTACTCAGACCACCTTAACCCTAACCTTAACCATCTTACTCAGACACCTAAAACTTAACCCGTCACCACTAAAGGACTTATTAGTCTATAACTAATTTGAAAGTAGGATTGTTACTTCCGGTTTCGTCCCGATTCCGTTCATGATATAGTCCTGACCACTAGTATAGCAGCAAAGTATAGCACCTTTGCTAGCACCGGAGCACATTGTGTATGAGTGGAATATGACAGTGGCTCTTATTGTTGACTGTTAAAACAATTGTTAGAATGTTTAATTGTTGAAGTATTTCCTTTTTGTTGAAATGAGAAATAAAACATTTTAAATTTCAGTTGTATTAGTTTGATGAATTCCTAAGGATAATACAATGTACTCATATCAGTACTAGGTATCGGCAAGTACTCAAATGAAATGACCCGTATAAGTTTTGAAAACAGTGGTATCGGTGCATCCCTCGACGGTATCATCCACAAAACACTGAGTGAACGCTGTGAGTCCAACATCTGTCCTGTGCTCCACCAGACACAGCGGAGGGCGTCTCCCAGGAGCTGGTGTCCGCCGGCCTGGTCAACGGCCAGGACCTTCTCGTAGGTGAGTATGGGCTGTGTGTAAAGCTGGGGTTCCTAACTTTCAAACAACAACAAATGGAACCATGTAAAACAGTCCATCTCACTCAGGGGTGTCCAAACATTTTAGTAAGAGGGCCATTTTAGCTCACCAACATGATCTGACTGGACTGACTGGATTCGAGCTTTAAAATTAGGTATGACACGTCTATTTTGGTTCATAATTGACAGAGCTGAAGTTGGAGGAATTTGGGGTTTCTAAATTTTGTTTATTTGCCAGGGACAGTACATAAAAACATTGCCACCCATAGGTAACCAATGTCAATTACACAGCCTGATTTGCAACCCCCCCATCCCTGGTTAGGCTTTTGGAGAACGGTGAAGGAAGGATTAAAACAAGTTTAAGAAAGAGGGGAGAAAAATATACACATAAATACAAATAATAATTGGTCCCATTTGTCCAAAATACATCCAGTTGTAGTGCTCTGTGACTTCAGCTCCAGCGGCAGAGTTCCACAGATGTGAGGCCTTCACTGAGACTGACCCATAGTCGTCCGGCACCTTCTCACTTTATCCCGCTAGCGGCTAGCTCAATGCAGCCCAATAGGGAAGTGCTCATGAACAAAGTAAACTCCTCTCTGGCTCAGTAAACCGTTTTGGGATTAAGAGATCCATCATTTAGCGCTCTCTATAATCCTGTTGTTTTTAATTTAATTCATTTTCTTCTGCCGATACATTTGCACCTCCTACCTCTGCTCTCCACCTTTTGAACACAACTCTTTGCTCTTATTGGACGAGCACGTATCACCAGAATGATTGACAACTGGGAGGACCACTAGGCTTAGATCCACCTGGAAGTAGACAATCCTCCTATATACCTTAAAACGTCACTCTTTTTCCAACACTGTTTGCTTGTGTATAACAGGCAGTTGTTGCTAAGACGGTTGCTAAGGCAAGATGGAATTTCCAGCACAAACAGATCGGGTTGGTAACTCGTTATCTGGATTGTATCTGGATTTTACGGACTCGAAACCCTGAGTGTGGAGTAAACGGTACTATGCTTGAGGAGTTTACTTTTACATGTGAGTCGATAGGAGCCAGAGAGAGTTTGAGCAAAACTTTGTCCACGGGCATTTCCCTATAGGGTTTTATTGAGCTAGCGGGTTAGCATTGTCCGTCTGTATACAAAATCTAGAGGATAATGATGACCAATCAGAGAGGAATATGTTCCGTGTTCAAAGCAGACCTGGGTTTGTTCCATCACTGTGAGGATCATAGACGTCCCCCCTCCCCTTCTGTGGAAATGCTCTCTTTTCAAACTGCTGCTGTTTCTGTGCAGTGGCCTCAAACCTCCAGAAGATTGTGGATCATCCCACCACCTGCAGAGGGCTGACCTTCAAACTGGTGAGACCACACCTCCTCTTCATGTACCTCCTCATGTCTCCACCTGCTTCAACCTCACACCTCCTCCTCCCTTCACACCTCTTCCTCATGTCTCCTCCCCCCCACACCTCCTTCTCTCCCCCCTTACGTCTTCATCTCCCCCTCTCTCTCCTCACATCTCCTCCTCCCCGCTCACATCTTCACCTCCTCCTCTCCCCCTCACGCCTCTTCCTCTCCCACAGGCCTCGGGCTGCGATGACTCGGAGACCCCAGACGAGGTGAAGCTGATCGGCTTTGCTCAGCTGAGTCGTAGCTGATGCTTTGCAAGGCCCACGAGGAGCAGGAGGAGGTCCAGGACCAGCGCTCCTGCAGGAGGAGCCAGTCCCTCCTGCATCTGCTCCGCTTCAGTCAGCGCACACAGCTCCTTCTGCAGAATACACCCAAGAGTTGTGTCTGTGAACCATGAAAGTCCAAGAATAGTCATTTTTCAGCTTTCAAGCCATCGTCCCTTTTTCAGAAACATACAAGAACATGTCCCCCCTCCCCTTCTGTCTAAATGCTCTGTTTCAGGTGGCATGGTGGCAGAGTGGTTAGCACTCTCGCTTCTCAGCTCCTGATAGAGGCCCCCGTGGTCTCACTTCACTTCCAATGTGAAACTAATACAGTATATGCCAGACGACACACAGTGAGATATAAAAAGCCTTTGTTGTGATGTTGATAATTGGCTCAGAGATTCTCAATAATAATAATGTTGAAGACTTAACATTATTATTTTGAAAGCCTGTAAGCCATAATCATCATAACAATAACCCAGATTGATGTCCCTCTGCATGTGATGAGCCTATATCATATATTGGTTCCACATTTCAAGTGGATTTACACAAATAAATGAACTTTTGAACGATATTCTAAATTTTCGAGTTCCCTCAGTACAACAATAACAGACCTAAGAGGACGGTCCATAAGATTAAAAATGAATGCTCATAAATGTCCTGGTTCTTCCACTGTCCTCAGACCCCGTCCTAACTCCTCACACTATCACCTCATGCTTATTAAAACTAAAGTGTTTCCTCCAAATTTGGTTGAATGTAATTCCCCACTTCACCACTAGATGGCCGTGTGAAGCCTCCTAACCATCTCATACCCGTAAGAAATGATGTCACATTCTTAAACATGAAAAGCCAAAGTACATGTTCCCTTATTTATGTCTAAGCCAAAATGAACACAGATGATGCATAATATTTTTTCTTCAATCAAACGTAATGATCGTAACTTTAGTGCAGGGGTCTTCAACTCAGTCCTCAAGGGGCCGAGTGGCTGCAGGTTTTCATTCCAACCAAGCAGGAGCACAGCAGACTCCACCTATTTCCTCAAGTGAGTCCAGTCTGAACCCGGAGACTTGAGGAAATGGATGGAGTGTGTTGTTCTTCTGCTCGGTCGGAGTGAAAACCTGCAGCCCCTGCTCTAGTGAGACCGATCACTTGCTTTACATTGATCTGAAATACAGCACAGCGCACAACTCTCAGGCCAGTGTTTTGTTGAAACGATGCGATTGCTCTTCCACTCGCTAAAAAGGCCGAGCGCCCCTCCCCCTCCTTAACCCTCCAGTAGACTGTATTCAGATGGACAATGCAAACCTGATTGATCAGTGAAGCCTGATAGGGAAGTTTTGCTCCAACTCGCTCCTGGTGACCTTTTCCATGCTAAGCCCCGCCCCCTCTATCCCAGAATCTGACCTTTTCACCCTGTGGTTCCACACTCAAAGCGGCTGTGTACCTTTAAAATTCTTTGAGTAATCTTTATATCTGTTTTGTCCAAATGCTAACTGCTATAAGCTAATGGAACATTCTTAACATTTTTAAAGAATAGAATTAGTCCTTAATAACACTTAATCTGCATCAGTAATGATTTTACTAAAAGAATATGTCATTATCTTATCTTATGTGTCTTCAAAAATAGTTATAAGCACATATTTCCATTATGGGAGGATTGTGTGAGTTTTTGGAGATAAATCTTATGTAAAAACCTGGTGAGCGTCTAAACTCTTGTGCAAACACTTCCACCCTTTAAAGGTGACACTCAGTAAATATCCACATTTTTCATTTGTTTGAGAAAGGCTCATTGGCTTGAAAGTAAACTCCTCTAGTCCAGTTTTTATTTGTGTCCCACTTTGAACGCTCTGTGATCCTGTTGTTTATATTCTGATATTGTCTATGTAAATCCAGATATTATCCCTAACAACTGACCAATCAGGAGCTTCCGCAAATGGGATACTTTGACTCCACATTCCCGCTCAAATAGATTCTTCTGCACTTAGCCAAACACTATGAAGACATCCATAGACTAAGCCCATTTGGACATAAGCTAGCTAGCAAGGGGCAGACCTGTTGTTAACTCATTGACTGCCATTGACGTATTTTTCTGAGACCCTCTATTCGGGGATTTGGGGGATTGGGGATTACTGGACAACCAAAAATAGCTAGAAATAAACTTATTTTTGCTGATGAAAGTAGGCAATCCAGTCTTTCAGAATCTGGTTTCATTTTTCACATACTTTTAGGAAATAATATTCTGTGGGTCTTGAGAGTCAGTGAAATCATCAAAACGGCTGGCAGTCAATGAGTCAAGATGGTTACTAAGAAAAGCTAGAGGTTTTTTTCTTTTTTCTTTCTGGTAGGTGGTTCATATCTGGATTTACAAAGACAATATCAAAATAAAAACCCCAGGCTCACAGAGAGCGCTAAACATGATTCTTAAGACACAAAAGTTGACTAAGCTAAAGGGGTTTACTTTTAAGTCAATTGGAGTCAGAGAGTTAGCGCCAAACACTTCCCTTTGAGCTAGCGTGTTAGCATTGTCCATCTGTATTCAGTCTATGTTCCCATACCTGACCGCGCCAACATTCCACCGCCACGGATCAGCGCCCCCCACTGGACAACTCAGGTGTGAAGGACGAAATGTTGCACCGTTTGACTCTTTGTTACCTCTAATCATTATTTATTTGTTCACTCCTCGGGTTGTCACACTGACTTTGCGTTCGCACACGTCACACAGTAATCACAAACAAAAGCACATTCATGATCCTCAGAATGCCTTGTAAAAATGTTTGATTTCCAGCCATTTTTTTTTTTTTTCAAAAGAAGGGAGTTCTTTCTGTTTCTTTAGGTTCGAATGTGCGGAGACCTGGAAGCTACTGTGTCTGTTTGCTGCCGTGGACAGTGTTATAAATGCTAGAGGTGCCTTGTTCATTTCTCTGTGCCTAAGAAAGTAGCCGGTGACAATGTATTTAAAAGAAAGGCCTATTGATTCTCCATGTTAGAAATGTTACAGCGCAGCACTGACACCGTTCAAGTAATGTTAATCCAAGCTACAATGCACTTTTGGGGCGACGCCCGTTAGCACAGGTTAGCTTGTCTGCTAATGTCTTCGGACAGTTCCCATGGAGGTATCTATGGATAATATTCCACATAGGTTGAAAACAGGCAGAGAGTGAGATAACGAGAACACTAGAGAGTTTGGGACTTTTGATTTGGTTCACTGAGCTTTAACCAAATGAGCCCTAGTCATAACCATAGTCCTAAATCCTAACCCTGGTCCTAAGCATAGTCCTTACCATACTCCTAATCCTGACCTAATTTCTACCGAGACCTGATTAGCTAAACATTCCCAAGTCTTCCCCATATGACTGAGTCCTATCCTGAATCCCAAATCCTCGCCATAGTCCTAAATCTTCACCATAGTTTAAATCCTCACCATAGTCCTAAATCCTAACCAAACTCTTAATCCTAACCTAACCCCAATTTCTGCCATGACCTATTTAGCGAAATGTCTTACCCCATGTAATACCCCTAGTCCTAACCATCGTAACAAATACAACATTGTGAGTTGAGACTGCACTCGCATATGCATCATAATAATAATAATAGTTTCCCTTCTCTCTCTAGTGTTCTTTTTACCACACGTCCTCGTCAGACTGTACTGTACTAAAGGCAACTATTTAAGTGTGTGGAGCCTTTTCCTTTGTCCCAATCTCCTGTAGCTCCAGATTGTTCTTATAAATATATATATAAACTTCTGCTGAAATGTTTATTTGATTGAGTAATTTATTGTGTTTTCTATGTACAGTATGTGTATCATTTCAGCGTATATGACCTCTGTCCTCTGTAATCAGCTGATGTCAACTTTACAAGTGACACATAAACAACTGCTGTTCGAAACCACCTTGTTTTATCTATTTTATTATTCAATTCAATATAATTGTATATAAATGTACACAAGATTAAAATACTTTATTCGTCGCACAAAAGAAGAATGTCAGTGTTGCATCACATGTTAGAGAACAGTAGGAATGAGGAGCACACGAGAGTGAAAAGTGTAAAGCACAATTCTGTACTTGTTGCAATGATTACATTTGTCCACCAGATGTCAGTGTTTCTTCAGAGCGTCACTATTCCTGTGTTCACAAACCACCAGCTGCAGCTGATACAAACATGAAACTATTACCTTTATTAACAAAGTCACAGTGTATTATGTAGAACAGCCTTTCCCAAAGTCAGTTAATAAATGATAATAATGAAATAATAACCAAGAAGACAACATTAAAAAATAGGATCTTCTTGTTATTTTATTTGGGGGAAATAGCCTCTGCTACAAACATGTAAATAACGCACCCCATTTTGTAATACAAAAATGATTACAAATTGATTATTCAAGTCAAATAATGAACACAAATAATTTAATAATACAAACTAAATATTATTAATTTAACATTCAATAATCATATAAAACTTTTTTTTTTTGATGACCTGTCGCGGCCCCCCTGCAATACCCTCGCGGCCCACCAGGGGACCGTGGACCCCACTTTGGGAGACACTGATCTGGAAAAATGTTAAAGCAGCAGACAAACACTCAAGGTCCTTTTGTCGATATTCAAATACAGTAATGTGTGAGGGAAGTCCAGAAATCTGAAGCTCTAGCATAACATAATTAATCCAACAGGTGGCAGTAGTCATTACAACCTGTGACTCCTTCTTTAACAACAATCATAAGGGAAACCCTGACATAAACAAACAAACATGAGCTAACAATGCATGTAGCAAATACAGTGGCATTAACAGGAACATAGGTGCATGGGGGAAAAAAAGTGACTGCAAAATGCAGACACTGCGCTGCTGTTTAACCAACATGCAGCTAGCGCCCCCTAGTGTTAAGCTATTCACAGGTGTATTAGTGGGTAGGACACATTTGAAAGTGTGCCCATGAGTTCTGATCATGTTATGTTCTGCAGATGACTGTATGTCTGAGGTCTTTTCTCCAC